TGCAACACGAAGTACAATGGCTAGAAGATGGAAGCAGGCAAGGACAGAAGAATGGAAAAAAAGGCTGTGGCATATACATAAAACACAATAACGCACAGTTGGAACAAATGATGAGCTCTTGCTAGGGAAGGACAGGAACTGGATTATACCATGTTACCTGAAATAAGCCAGAGGGAAACACTAATATACCAGGTGATCTCACTTAACAAAACAAGGGAACAGACAAAATCAAATGATGGCAAATCCTTAATCTTGAATTACAAAATAGAGTTTAGACAGGATAGCGGGGTGGGGTGGGAAAAAAATCGAGACTGATCAGAACTAACATAAGGACAGATATTGGTGGAGGATACTGGGATTTGGTGGAGGTCAGGCAAAATAATTTCACATCAAGATAATAAATGTTAACACTGTTGCAAACATGTTATCTTTACTACTACAGCAATAGCAATAAAAAATAAACCATCATGCCTGGGGCTAAAGAGGATCCAAAAAAAAAAAAAAAGAATACTGGAGCACATGTTCTGCTTGTGGAAAGGAGCAGAAGGAAAAGAAAAATAGAAAAGACAGGAGGAAGGAAAATAAATTCTAAAATTACTATTATATATCAACATCTTACAGAATTCCAGAAAGAGATGAGCAGAAGTGAATAAAGGAAAATAGAGGTACAGAACCTATACATACAGACAGTACAGGGATTAAGCCTTGCATTGTGACTGACCTGGTTTTATCACTGGCCCTCCATGGTACCCCGACCACTGTATGATCCCCAAATATCATCAGGAACATAACCTCTAATCAGAGCTGTGAGTAGCCCCTATGCCCAGCACTAATTCTTATCCTCCTACCCCCAAAAACCTCTACAAATGACATGGATTTCTTCAGAGTCCACCAAAGACTAACTCAAAGGATGAGAAAAAAAAAGTCAATTTTTGACACAAAATTTCAGAGAACTGGGAATAAAGATAAGATGCTAAGTTTCCAAAAGAAACAAATAGGACACACATTAGTGTCAGCATCAAAATGACAAATAACTTCTCAACAGATTCAGTGAAAATTGGAAATGCAATGCTATAAAATTCAGAGGAACAATGATTTTCAGCCTTTTGCAGATATTAATATTCAGATAAAGTCCTGGTGGAGTTTATGGATGGAACTGAGTCATGCTGAGTCACACCAATTAATCAAAAGAATTTGTTCATGCATTCTTTCACAGGAAGCTGCTGGAAGTGGCATACCACCAAAATGAGAGAATTAAAGGAAAGGAGGAAGACAAAGGAATCAGGAAATGGAATATCCAATATGAGAGAAGTAAAGAGCAACCAATTTAGATTAGCATCCTGAGTTGAAAAAGAATTCCTTTTTCTTGGCCACACCCATGATGTCAGGTGTTACATCCGGCTTTGAACTCAGGAATTACTCCTGGTAAGTACACAGGCAACCATATGGAATGCCAAGATTGAACCCAGTTGGCTAAGTGCAAGGCTGGCACTATACCTGTTGTACTACATGGCCAGCATCAAGAATTTTCTTAAATAAAATCAAAATTACAAGATGTGACTAAATTCAATGAGAAGAAATGACCAATTCTGGTAAAACCTAAATATAAAGTAATTCTAGTAATATCAAAAATTTAGAAGAAAAACAACCAAAAGAGGGAAATACATCTCATAAGCCACTAACTCTAAACAGTGTGTTTACCAAATTGTCCTGACAATAAAAACTGATACAGATAAAAACTGATACAGGAGAAAGAAAAAAACTGGATTGTGGTTTTTCTTTTTTTTTGCTTTTTGGGTCACACCCGGCAATGCACAGGGGTTATTCCTGGCTCTGCACTCAGGAATCACTTCTGGTGGTGCTTGGGGAACCATATGGGATGCTGGGAATCGAACTCAGGTCAGCCGCGTGCAAGGCAAACGCCCTACCCGCTGTGCTATTGCTCCAGCCCCAAAACTGGATTGTTTATACCCAGCAACGTTAAGGGATGAAGAGAGATTCTACATGGGTGCCGGAGAGATAGTATAGCAGGTAGGGCACTTGGCTTGAACATGGCCTACCCAGGTTCAATGCCAGACAGCTCTTATAGCTCCTCCTGAGTCTCAGAAATCATGATCCCTGAGTGTAGAGTCTGGGTGAGATTTGAGCACAGCCAGGTGTGCCCCTCTGCCCCTACCCAACCAACAAAACAAAATCAAACTGAAAAGATCAAGCTGAAAAGACTGTTTTGTTTTGAAAGGCGAGAAGTGGGGAAAACAAATACTTGAACTCAATGGAGTTCCATAAATTTTCAAGTTTTATGATATTTGATACTGTAATCACAGAGAACCATAACAGAAAGGAATTTTATATAGTGGTCAGCAATTTATTTCTCTTGTTTTACAGTTTTACAGCCCAGGGTTACAGAGCTGGTTTGTGTAAAATTAGACCCTCTGCTCTTGACTATCTCATTAACTCACAAACCATTTTAAAATAATGATTCAAGGGACAGTGAGACAGCTGAATGGGCTGAGTGCATGTGTGTGTATGATCCCTGGCACCATCTGGTCCCCCAAGAACTGTCATGAGTTATCCCTGAGCACCTAATCGCCACTTGGATATAGCCAAAAGAACAAACAAAAAATAATGACCAAAGAAAAGAAATACACATTTTCAGTTCCTGTTGACATATTTATTAGCAGGCTCTTGTTTTTAAAAAGAAGTCTAGGACCACAGAGATTGTCCAAAAGGCTGGATAGCATGCTTTGCATGAAGGAAGCCTGGTTTGATCCTCGGCACCATACAGTCCATTAAGCACCACCCAGGAATGACCCCTGAGCATTGAGCTAGCAGTAGCCTGCTGTTGAGTACTGCTGAGGTGTGGCCCCCAAACAAAACAAAATTAAACACAGTTTAGGTCAATGAAGTAGCGCAAGAAAGAGCTCAATTGCTCAGCATACATGAGGCCCTGGGTTTGATCCCCTGCACCAAAATAAGGAGGTAAAGAGGGCATCTACTATAGTAAAAATAGCATGCTAAAATACCTAGCAGTTTGAATTACCCCACTCTTCTACTTTTGTTTTGAGACCACACCGGTCTGTGCTCAGGACTCACTCCTGGCTCTGCGCTCAGGGATCACTCCTGGTTGTGCAGGGAGGACCATATGCAGTGTCAGAGCCAAACCGGGATCAGGCACTTGCAAGGCAAGTCCCTTAATCCCAAAACTATGTCACTGGTCCCTCTTACTTTTTAGCAACTAGATATAATAAAGGAGAAGCCTAACTAAATGTTCTTTTGTGATGAAATACAATTGAGAATTTTGCATTTTGGCTGCCATCTATTGTCAGCCCAAACTGGGATTCACTCACACTCTACCTGAAAATGGCATTAAAAACTTCTATGTAGGGGCTGGAGCAATAGCACAGTGGGTAGGGCGTTTGCCTTGCACAATTCCCAGCATCCCATATGGTCTCCTGAGCACCGCCAGGAGTAATTCCTGAGTGCATGAACCAGGAGTAACTCCTGTGCATCGCTGGGTGTGACCCAAAAAGAAACAAACAAACAAAATCCACAAAAAAACAAAACTTCAATGTATTGCAATTTGTACTACTAGTTAAATGATTCAGAACATCTTCATTCAGCTCATCATAACCTGGAATCGAACGTTCTGCTTTATTAAAATTTTGGCAATAATTTTGAAAAGGAAGGATATGCTGAGTGTTTTAAGAAATCGGATTCAATAGAAGGATTTGAGGGTTTCTGTTAATTCTGGTGACAGGTTTTTAGGACAGGCCTGACTGTGGACCAGAGGGAATATTGAAAAGTGGGCCAAAGGCTGAATGTGGAAGACACATTACAATCAACTGCCATCTATCATAAAAATTTGGGTCTTTGCTAGTCAAATAGCAGAATTTAACACTGAATGGAAAACTAGGTTGCCTTTTTTTTTTACATTCTTACTTTCTCAAAAGTAGGAATTTGGTATATAAAGAACCTGCGCCAATATCTTATATATCAGTCTATTCCACTTTTTAATTTATACCATTCCGTCCCCGAGTTTGAGATTCTGAACAAGACTAAACACTTGTGAGTCAGTCAATAAATATCTGAGAGCTGATGATTTCAATGACAGCATCAGATCAATATATGGTATTTCCTCATTACTTAGGCAATTCTCAAACAAATTTATTCCTAGCCTCTACATCTATTCACTTTCAAAACGTTTTCATGTCTCTCAATGTTAAAAAAGGTTTAAAAATAAAAGGAAAAGTTTTATGTTCACAGTAAGACCCTAAGCAGCTCTAATTTGTCCACCTTAATCGACATACATCCACTCTAGGCAAACGTCCTTTGAACCAACCGTCACACTGCTCATAAAGTTGGGGACTTTAATCAGCTACAGAGCACCCAGACTTTTTTCTCCCCCTATATATTTAATCACACAAATGAAGTTCACTGCATTTATAAGTAGGAAGGAGCAATAGGTTTATCTTCCTATTTTAACTTTAATTTTGGAACAAGAATTGTTTTACTGTAATCATTTTTATCTTGAATCAGTAACACTGAGAACTTACTACTTAAAACATGTGTTGACCAGCCTACGAGGATTTCAAAGATACAGGCCTCTGTGCTTCATTATAAAGATTCAGGTGTGTATGTCTGTGTATGTATGTGTGTGTGTGTGTGTGTGTGTGTGTGTTTGTGTTAGAGAATGACATGATTATTTAAGTCAATAAAAAATAATGAATTTATAACTGTAACTCCAGTGTTTCATAAATATACCCCATTACTATGAGAAAGTCCCTAAAATTTACATATTAACTAAGCGAGTTAATTTCTGCCAAGTTTTAGGAGGAAAATCCTCATAAATTAGTAGAGAATGGCTTAAAAAAAAGTATACTATATTTGTATACAATTATAAAAATAACACTTCCAGTTTATATTTTAGAAAAAAATTTATTTTTCTATCTAAATTTTGCTATCAAACAACTACAATTAAGTAATGGGGCAAAAAGCACTCGTGACTGTGGCAGGATGTCAATTTATTTACAAAAACGATACAAAATTAGATTAATTCTAACACCAATTTATCAAAGCTTCCTGAAATTAATTTTGCTTTTGGAAATGTATCAAAAGTCTTCAGATTCAGGATGACAGTCTTTATTATTTTTAATTCATGGAATTATAGCACATCAAATCTTCAAGCAAAAACACCAGATGAAAGCCTGTATGATAAAATATTCTCATTTTCCTGATAGCTTGGAATGTAAATGAAAATGTGTTCCCTTTTTATTGAAGGAAAAACCTGAACAGTATCCAGTAATATCAAATACGTGTTAGATTGGTTTGTCTGCTGGAATTAAAGCTGTGTAATTCTACATTGTTAAAAACTGCCTTAAATTAAATCCTTTTCTTTTATTAAAAAAAAGTTTTTATCAGGGATTTTAGCTAAGTGTTATAACAGAAACCATTACCCATATTTTAAAGAACATAAATCCATACCCAAAAGACAGGAACTTCAAGACAGTACATATTTCAAGAGTACAGCATAACTAATTTTTTTAATTGTTGACATACCTAGAGGCAATACTTTAATAGTCCCTTGCAAACTATAGACAGCCTTAAGAGCAACATGCTTGGTCAATTTTTCTTAACCTTTCAGTTTGGGGGCCGAGACATTTAAAAATAAGGAAAAAATATGACTCTTTGCTGATGGCTTTTCCGATATCAACTTGCAGGTTTATAAATACTCATCCAACAAAGGAGACAGGTTATCCAATGATATTTGCCGTGAATTCATAAAACAGTAAGACAGATAGAACGTGAAATAACAACAACAACAACAAAAAGGTGTTTTTCAGGGCTGAGTTTTTCTAATAGGTGTTGTAAGAGAAATATTATATAAGACCCAAAATAAACTTCAGATACAAAATTATATGGCATGGCTTTGTTCAATACACCTAAGATTCGAATTCAAGTTAAATAAACTAGGCGGTTTTTTTTATGTCACCAGCTTTCATGAGGGCTTTAATAGCTCTTGCCCTCATCTCAAGTTCGAGCAGCTCCAGCTGCTGTGCAGAAGGCTGAACGTCTTCGGGCGGAGGGACGGGAAGGGTGGCTGCTTTGGGCTCCTTTGTGTTGGATTCTGCCAATCCCAGAATCTCATTCACACTTTTCTCAATGTCCTTCTCCAAGTCATCTATTGGGCCAGCTTCGCTCTGCACTGCACTCTCTGGGACCTCCGGAGCAGCTGCTTCCTCGTTACAAGGGCCTTCAATGTCGCTGTCGTAAGCATCGGCATTTATACTGAGTACATCACTATCTTCTTTGCCTGTAATGAACACAAGGAAGAAAGTATTCAGCCCACAGAGCTTTATCGCTGACCCCAAAATAAAAGTTGCAGATACAAAATGAAAAAAAAACACATCTGTAAGAATCATTAATCATAGCACATGGCTGACCTGGGTTTGATCCCCAGCGCCGCTTATGGCCCCCCCAGGCCTACCAGGAATGACCCTGAGCGCAGAGCCAGGAGTAAACCCTGAGCACTGTAGGTATGGCTCCAAAACAAAGAAGAATTATTAAAAATAAACACTGTGAATTATAAAAAGCAAAAAGGGGTTTTAGAGGCCAGAGTCATGGTGCAGTGAGTAGGGTGTTTACCTTGCATGTGGTTAACTGAATTGATCCCAGATATCCCATACGGTCCTACGAGCCCACCAGGAATGATCCCTGAGCACAGACCAGGAATACACCCTGAGCAAAGAAGAGTGCGACTCAAAAACAACGAGCGCGTGTGCACACACACAACACACAAACACACACACGGGGGGGGGGTTACCCTAACTGAAAAGGAGTGCTTCAATTAAAAAAAAAAAAAGGAAGCGACAAAATCATGCAATTTGTTGCTACGTGGATGATTCTGGAGAAAATCAGTGAAGTCAGTCAGAAGGAGAGCGCCAGACACAGATGATCTCATATGTGGGATATAAAGGGACATAGCAGGGGAACAACAAATGGCCACAAGCAACAGAAACTGAGAACTGGTGTTCAGTCAGACACTTATCACAGCTGGGGAAAGGGTTGTGGTGGTGAGAACAGCATGGGAAGGTTACCCCAAGATAACGATGGAGGCTGCACTACATAACCTCAAATAATAAGTAGTTTAATCAAGTATGCATACCACTGATTTCAGATTTCTACAAATTTCATAATTGCACTAATATTTTGAGACATGCTATAAGCTATACACATGATATAATACAGCTCTGGTGGTAATTTCAACACGGCTCATAAAAGGAAACCTGACATAAATTTCCAGTAAAATTCTCGTTTTATTAAGAGGCTACTGAACTCTGAAAAAAAAAGTGCTTATTATTTCCAACAGATGAAGTAAGAAAAATGAGGGATTTAAATGGTCTATGGAATACTCATACAGTTATTGTAGGGAGTACCATGCAGAGAGAGGGAACAGCAAAGGCAAAGTATTTGAAACAAAGTCCTTGATTTGAGTGCTGGAGGAAAGCAAGGAAGGAAGAAGAGCCTGTGAGCAAGAGGCAGCGTGACAAGCACTTAAAGCTGCACTGGCCACTGGCTACAGGAAGGAAGGACTTACATTTGATTTCAAACTACTGGAAGATTTTGATGACCATAGTACAAGAATAACCACTCAGATGTGCTGTGTGGCAAATAGAAAATAAAGCACAGAGAAACCAGGGGCACTGGAACAATGTAAGAATCAATAAGCATATAATATGGCTCAGAAAAACTGTGAGGCAGTTGGATTCTACATACTTTAAAAGAAAAGAGGATTCAAAAGTGACTCCAAGGTTCTTGGCCTTGATACTAGAGAAAGCAAACGCTACTTAGAGAAGGGAGAAGCAAGGCTTTGAAGCCTGGCTGTGCTGCATTTTGCCTGTTTGCTTTTTTTTTTTTTTTAACATCGGGGAGTAGGAAAGGCATCTGAAAGTTACGCTGGGAAATATTAACTTTAAGATGCTTATTCAACATCTAATGAGTAACTTTTCTATCTGAGTAACGGAGAGAGATCTGAATACCAAAATAAATTTATAGCTGTCAGACTTTTCAAACTACAAAATGTTAGTGCTGGGAAATACAGAAAAGAGAAAAACACAAAGACTGTGTCCTGGGGAAAATCACCCTAGACAAGTCAGATGGAGTGGGGAAAACGATACAAAAAAGGGCAGAGATGACAGTGTCAGAGAAGGAGGAATAGTCAGTGGCGCCAAACAGGGCTGGCGCACAATGATGAAGACTCAGCAATGACCAGTGAAACTGGGGTAGGCAATAGTTCACTGAGAACGGTGGGGAGTGCACTGATTAGGGAAGGAGAGGAAACAACTGTAGACATCAAAAGGTAAGTGAAAGGGGGTTAGAGCAAAAGTACGGCAGGTAAGGTGTTTGCCTCGCATGCTGCATATCTGCCTCTCAGGTTTGATTCCCCGTGTCCCATATGATCCCTAAAGCAGCACCAGAAGTAATTTCTGAGTGCAGAGTCAAGAATAAGCCCTGAGAATTGCCGGGTGTGGCTCCCCAAACCAAAATATAAATAAGACTTCAAAAAGGTAAAATGGAAATGAAATGAAATAAAATGGAGCTAGTTTCAGGAACACAGAGCTAATCCATTTTAACAGGGAGAAGAAAAGCACTAAGTTTAGATACTGGTGGATATGAAAAAGGAATTTATGTTTCCTTTATTAGACAATTTCTTTTCTAAGCTAAGTCACACTTTTTTAACTGCTCTACCCCTGGTTCCTGCAAAAACTTATCCATTTGGTAGAAGAAACATAGTCTTCCAATCTTGAAACATTGCTTCAAAGAGGTATTGAATTTTTTTTTTTTAATGATTCAAAGGACACAAAGGACAAATGAGCAAAAGCTACATAAAGGTAGGGGGTGACTTCATACCTGTTTTAACAATGAGACAGAATGATATTAAAGCAATAAAGTAAAAAACACTAGTAATGATGATAGAAATGATTATAACAAAAGCTGTTATTTATGGAACATTTACTATATACCACACACTTCTTTCAAGCACTTAACATTTTTGAACACATTAAATCCTTATGCCAAAAGATGCAATAAGCATTTATTATTCCCATTTTCTAAATAAGGAAACTGAGGAAGAGAGGGTTTAAATACTTGCCCTAGCTCACACAACTAAATTTGGCAAAACCAAGATGTAAATGTACGTGATATTACACTCAGCAGGGCATTTGCTTTGTATGCAGTCAACCTGGGTTCAATCACATGTACCCCACTTGATCCTCCTAGCCCACCAGGACTGATCCCTGAGTGCAGGCAGAGCCAGTAGTAAAATCTGAGCACCTCCAGGTGTACCCCACACACAAAAATTCAAACTAAGTGAATTTCAAAAATCTATACATTTAGACATATACTGCATCCCAGATCTTTTTTTGTTTTATTTTTTATTTATTGAATCACCGTGAGAACAGTCACAAAGTCTTTCAGTTCAAGTCTCAGTTGGTCATACTATGATCAAACACCCGTCCCTTCACCAGGTCACATTTTCCACCATCAAGAACCCCAGTATACCCACCCCCCCCCGCCACCTGCGTAGCAGATTTCCACTTTACTCTCTCTCTACCTTGATCACATTCAATATTACGACTAAAGACCCAACATTGTTATTTGGAATTTTCCCCAACATTCAGACCTGCCACAAAGACATCATTAGAAAATTTGTTTTCTATTGCTGATTATGAATAGCATATGATGTTCTGTGGCAATAGCGACCACGCGAATTTGATTACTGCCCAAAGCCCCTGGGTTCCGAGACTGGTTTGTGTGCCTCTGGGATCATGGTCGTTCAGAAGCCAGAGGAGTCATTTGAGGGTGGCAACCCAGAGCACTGTCATGGCGCGGAGCAGGGCTGATTCCACCCCCATCCCATGAAGCCCCACGTGCCTTGTCAATGCAGTCTCATACCTGGCTGTTCATTAGGCTCTAAAAGATGCAGGCCACCATGTCACTGCCACAAAGGGGGACAGGCGAAGGGACAGACACCCTTCCCCTCCCAGGGGGCATAGCACCATAGTTAAATACATAGTCCAGATGTATTTCGGTTGGGCATTATCTTTTGCTCAGATTTTCCCACCACCACTCAAGCCTCATTTTCAGGGACAAATGCGAGATCATTTACTTTCCATTGATCACTTTGGATATCAGAAATGTCGCACAGCCACTTATGAGGCCGCATGCCTCCCAGATCTTAAAAGAATCCAAATGACCAGAAACATCACAGATGAGAATGTTGATTTAAGTTAAATATAACTTCTTGGCAGTCCCCTAAAACCTAATTAAAAAAATGAAATATGTAGGAGGTACAAATCTAAAATAGTACATATTAAATGTGAATATACAAGGTATCCGAAATATATAAAGAACTCTAAAACTTAACAATTAGAAAACAAACAATCCAATTAAAAATGGGGGAATGACTTAAAGAGACAAGTCACTAAGGAGGTATGTAAATGCAGAGGCATATGAAAAAATGTTCAACATCATTACCATGAGGTTATTAAAGACTGAAAATAATGAGATACCACTAAATACCTAGAGTCTGCCCCAAATCCCCAAACACTGACAGCACTGCAAAGGATGCGGAACAAACAACAGAAACTCGTATTCAGTGCTGCTAGGAATGCAAAACAGTTCAGCACTCTGGAAAAAAGTTTGGCAGTTTCATACAAAACTAAACTTGGTTTCTATTCAGAGTTGAAAACTCATGTCCATACAAAAACCTTAATACGAATGATTACTGCAGCTATACTCGTGGTTGCCAAAACGTAGAAGCAACCAAGATGTTACTTAATAGGTAGAGGGCTAAGCAGACTGCAGTATATCTGGGCAATGGAAGATTATTCAGCAACAAACAAATTAACAAGTGACAGGAAGACACAAAGAGCCTTGAAAGTGAAATAAGTCAATCTGACATTCCAAAAGATAAAACTACAGAGACAGAAAATAGAACTCAGTGACTGCCAGTAGTCTGAGGGAGGGAAAGAAGGAAAAAATTGGTGAAACTATTCAGATACTATCTAGCTATATCAAAACACATATAACTTACAACACAAAGAAAGAAACTTTATGTAAACTCTATGTTATAATGTAATATGTGTGTATAATATAAACTCTACACATAATACAGAAAAGACTTAATATTGGCTGTCAATTATAACACCCTTGGAAGAAAATACAGGAAACTGGGAGAGGGAAGTAGTTATATATAAAAGCGCTGTAATTTCTTTTCCTGTAAACACAAAGCCTAAAAACTTAAATACCCAT